CACACACACACACACACACACACACACACACACACACACACACACACTCACGCACTCACGCACTCACGCACTCACGCACGCACGCACGCACGCACGCACGCACGCACGCACGCACGCACGCATGCACGCAGAGCCATTCTCACTCCTACAGAAATAGGTACAGTGTTATTTTTCGGAATTTTATGGTTCATTATCATATAATTGTAGTCCCAAGACATTGTACAATTATAACGTTTGTATAATGCATTATTTAGATTTTATTAACGGCATGGATTTTCTGGTGTTATCGGATGCATCGATTGTACACACGTTGCAATCGTAGCTCCTGGCATCAATGATCCGGAGTATCCAGTACATATGTGTATACGTAAATCGTAAAGGATATCATTCCATAAATGTTCAATTGGTACGGTAACAAAATAATAAAACTGAAATAATAACATCACGACTATAAGAATATGATATCGCTGTTACAGGTTTCTGATCCTGATTTAAGGATAATACATGTGAATGCACGATTCCCTGGGATTACGGACGATAATTATATTTTGAACAATAGCAATATATTGGCAGCCCTAAAAAGTATTAACGAATACCATGGAAATGGTTTCTATCTTCTGGGTAAGTTATACTGCTTTTATAAGTAGCTACTAATTTTTGTATGAACAGAATGCAAATTCACAAAGTTTCCACTACAAGTTTCCTAATTCCCGAGCAGTGTATATTATTTAAAAAATTCCTCTGTTTTACGCGTTTCAATCTGTTAACATAAGTTTCTTCAACAACTACATGTATTATGTAATGATCAATGATAATTGCGTCATCAACGCGTGCGTGGTATCGCACAATATGTGCATACAAAATGGACTCCCTGCGCCTCAGCAAGAGGAAGAAGGGTATGAGGTTGATTAGAAATTTATAATCATGTTCCTCAAATTGAAGATTTGAATACAAATGTAAGAAGAGCGAATACCGATTTAGCAAGAGGACGAGCGCTTCAACAGCATATAATTAGGTCCTTTTTTACTTAAGAAGGAGAATATTGTGTTTACATAGTATTTTTATTTTATAATATATAATACACCAATAATATATGAAATATAATACAGCAAACATACAGAAAAATATATACACTGCTGGACAAAATTGAGGGATCACTAAAATTTTTCGAAAATTTTGGTCATATTCAAATGACTATATCTTCGCGAAAAATGGTCATAAAAAATATTTGGAAATGCCATTTTGTAGGCCGAAATCTCTAGTTTTCGAGTCAGGAGATCCACATTTTTTTTGTCTGGCCATATCACTTTTTTTTTTTAAATGAAGTGTAACGAAGAAATGTTGAAACATTTTCGTTAACTTTGAAGGTATGCACAGTACGAAAAAAATTTTTCTTGGCAAATTCAATTAAATGGTATTATACAGTAAACTTTTCTCTTTATTTTGGTTTTTTTGGTTATGCTATGCATTTTTTATTGGCCGAGTTCTTTATGATTATGTGAAAACGGGTACTTTTCACTTTGAACGCCTATAACTCGTGAATACATGATCGTGGAAAAATTTCAATGAATGTTTTGGACAGCTGAGGAACTTTCCTTTAAAAGTCTTTGGTTCCCAATTTGATGACATTTTTTTTTTAAAATGACCTAAAAATTTGCATATCTACCACTTTTCAGAAAACATGACGCCATTTCAGTAAAAATCAAGGAATCATACAAGTGCCTTACATTATTTTTGAGTTAAGAGTGCTCACAAACTCTGTGCAAAAGGCCGAACTCATCTGTTTTTTTTTACCTTATGTCCTCGATGGCGAAACATGCGACATGATCTTAAAACTTGAGAGATCACTTGTTTTACGTTACGTTTCCGTTTCATTCAAAACCACTTTTTGTTCTTGCAGCGTCTTAATGGTTATTGCGTGTTTTCTTTTCTTAATTCAACGTCATTTTAGCGTACAAAAAAAGGGTTTAAAAAATTAAAGAAAAATTTGTCATTGTAAAGAGATTGAACAAAATTTTTTCTTTAATTTTTTAAACCCTTTTTTTGTACGTTAAAACTTTTACCAGGAAGGACTCGAAACTCGGTCAAGCGGCGTACGAGTCTGGTACTCTACCGGTGCCCCCACCGTTACAGTTAACGATTGCTGCAACTAAACTCGTACATCAAGGTAAGAATAAAACTTTAATTACAAATATCTCAGAAACTATTGAGTGTCTGCCCCTATAATGGTATATACTCGTATTCAGGGGAACGAAATCTATAAGTGTACAAAGTTTCAATGAAATTGGTGAGTTGAAGGTCTTGCATTCTCCTTGTAAGAAGAATATGCATAACGTACATAGTTTATCATAACGAGCTTATACGACGAGTTACTTAAATTTTAAGTAATTCTTGAGTAATTTCTTTTTAGTAAGTATGCAATACATTATTCTTAATTACTGAGTAATTGAATTACTTTTAAATAATTTCTTATAACTAGCCAGAAAGTAATTAAAAGGTATTTCAAATCTAAAGTAAATAAAAATATCTAAAAGTAATTAAAAGATAATTATAATTACTTTTTAATTATTTTGAGGTAATTTTATATACTTTAGATTTAGGATACCTCTTAATTACTTTCTGGGTAGTTATAAGTAATTGAATTATTCAGTAATTAAGAATAAGGTATTGCATAATTACTAAAAACAAAGTAATCAAGAATTACTTAAATAATTACCTTCTAATACAAAATTGAAATTTATTATACTATGCAAATTTTCGAAAGATAGAACTTTCATATGTTTCAGCTGTAGTGTGTAGTAGCTAAAGTTTCTAAGGCTGCCGCAATTCTTTCTTTAGCTACTACATCCCTCTCCAGCAACGCCAATTTTTTATTATAATATTCCTTTCTATTTTCTTTATCTTCCTCGGCTATTCGTGCCAGAAACACTGAAGCTTGTGATTTCATGCCAGAGGTTTGTTTTTGTAGTTTAGTGGCTCGACGTAGAGGGTATTTCTGTCTCACTATAAATAAGTAATATATTAATCTAACTCCCATGTCCAGCGGGCACTTTTAACTTATAAATAAACATATTTAAAATAGAGTTAAGTAAATAAATTTGTTGTGAAAGTTCATAACAGTAACCGTTTCTATATAAATAGAAAAATACATCAGCTATTACCTACCTTTTTCTATCTTAATCGTCGGTCTCTCCACTATTATTCAAGGGCCAGGTTGAGAGTCTGCTGGTTTTTCCACCTTCTCATTGTCCACCAAGTCTGTATCTAAATATTCTTCGGAGTAGTCCTTCAATGGAAAAAGTAATATTTTAGTACCTTGGATATACTTTTCAATTTTTAAGCATATTTGCGTTTCATCTACAGGGTGTCCCAAAACTCGGGGAGGAGCCGGAAATGGGGGGTAGCTGAGATGATTCTGAACAACAATTTCCTTTGCAAAAATGTCGGATGGGGCTTCGTTAAGGAGATATTAAGCGAAAACCCCGACCAACCAGAGTGCGCGTAGACCGTTGGAGCGGCCGCGGTAGCGTAGGCTACGCGCTGGTGGCCGCGCTTGCACGCGAACAAGTGATTGATCGGGGTTTTCGCTTAATATCTCCTTAACGAAGCCCCATCCGACATTTTTGCAAAGGAAATTGTTGTTCAGAATCGTCTCAGCTACCCCCCATTTCCGGCTCCTCCCCGAGTTTTGGGACACCCTGTATATTGGAATCACCTTTTACTTGTGTTGCATGGATTGTGTTTAGGACACGTTCCTCCTCCACCGATAAACTTTCTGTATTTAACGGACTACCGCCTGTGGCATTTAAATTTCTGTTAATAGAAGACTGCTTTGCCTTCGCTTTTCCTCGGAAATCTTGCCACGTCTATTTTACAATGGAAAAAAAATATGTTAATGCAGCTTTTGCAAAATTGAATATAAAACACTTATAAACACTATGTAAACACTAACACGTCTCCATTGTTTCCAATCTTTCTTCGCCCCTGGCGAAGCGTTTAAAATATTGGTTATTTTTTGCCACAAACGCTGCCCATCCTTATGCGTATAGTCGGCCGAAAATTTTGACCTCGTTAGGTTTGGGTTTGATTCTATAAATTCAATAAGAATTTCTTTTTGCTCACGGGATATGTTCCCCGTTCGTTTAGTTGGTTTGCCTTTGTCGCACATTTTTGTTTCGCGCAATTCTTTCCACGATATTTCCGCAAACACTTGTGGGATAATACTGCCTTTCCTCAAACGCTTTTCGATTAATACTGCCAAGTTTCTAAATTTGAGAAAAACCTATGGTCACTCGGAAGTACCGTCGCATCTCGTGGCCCTAATGAAACATTACAACTTGAGTGTAATAAACGGGCGGCTAGGGCCTCTTGCACAGCGTTCTCGTTTACGGAAAACTACACGTGACATTGACAGGACGCCATGTATATTTCCGTTGATATTTTCTAAAGTTGAACAATCATTGGTTCGTCTCCAACGCGTAAATCTGGCAATACTGTAATTTCATACGTATACGAATCAGTGATTCGTATAGTGCTCCAGAATACCGTTTTCGTATGTGAATGATTCATACACGAAACACGCCATACGAAAGTGTTCGTATACGACTAAATTCACACGAAACTCGAGAATAGACCCCCTGCCCCCGAAGACGCTTCAATTCGCCTGTCTCTCGGTATCGTTGCACCGCCCTCCCGACGGCGGACTTTGACAAGCCAAGGGCCGCGGCTACGGAGCGTATCGCTCCCCGGACGCCACTCAGTGGACCACAACGGCCGCCTCAGATTCCGTCATTTCATAATTACCAATGTTAACTACGGAAAGAAGTTTTATTAAAAATTCCGTAAAATTGAAGGTCACTGATCAAAACAAACAAATTCACTTACCGGTTCACTGAGTTCACTGCACTGAAATTTTTTTAAAGTTTGAACTGCTATTTAGCGGCACTCGCGATTGGTTCGAAAAACTTTGCAGCGAAGTGCTCTGCTCACTGTCGTGTTAGCTTCTGGCGTTCTTTTTTTCGGTCACAAGGTTCAAAAATTTTGCAGGCAGGTAATTCCACCAAAAACTACCCTGATTGGCTACATCGTTAAAATCACTACCGAGCGGGGTACGATGGGTTGCCTAACTGCCGGGCGCTCTTGACTGGCTCCGTCCACCTCACTTACTATTCTTTCAAATCTCCGATTTGACAACGAAAGAATGATTAAAAAAATCTGATTTTTGGGGACCTGTTAATAAAGCATTCGCACATCCGATACCATGAACGGCGTTGACGTGGGGTTGCTCGTTCACCCTGCAGATGGGCCTGAAGTTAGGGGTGGGTTTTCCCCCAAAAACGACATTTTCGTATTTTGTTGCAATTCACGCGGGAAAAAGACATCAAAACTGTGTCACTCCAATGCCTTGGACCGTATCACATGTGTTCCACGCAACGAAACATCGTTCCAGCCCCTACACCTGTGGGTGAACCACCCCTAACTCTGGGCCACCCTGTTCAGCTCCAGTGGTAGTTTTCGAAATGAGCTTTAAATGACATTGATCCTTAACGTACCGAGAATAAACATGGTGAATTTCATCGCCCTTCGAAGTGTGGAAGTGCTCCCTTACGAAGGGTGTTGAAAAGTGGCGAACTGTTCCATCCTTCGAAGGGGTGCCTATGGGGCGCACGGCGTGGGCGTTGGCATTTCCTGGATCAGGAGATTCCAGGGAATGCATTGAGCCCAAATTCGGGACTGAAATCCAAAAATTGTGGATTTTGGAGGGGGTAGCGTGTTGTGAGGGGTGGGTTTGCCCGAGAGGGATTTTGAGGGGCTCATTATGTAGTGGGCATCGAGGAGGGCCGCCCCAAAGGATTTTTATATTTTTTCAACCCCTTCCGTCACCCCTGGCCTCTTCAGAAGTTGCGTTTTTCGACGTGCCCCTCTTTACGGGGGTGACTTAACCCCCTCCTGTCAACTCTAGCTAATGCAACTTTGCGCACATTTAGAGGACACATCAAAACTACTCCTCGCGAAGTTTCTCCAAAATCGGTTGAAAACTCCCATAGATATGACGTTTTAAAAAAGTGTCCCTTTAATTTTGTCCGTCAGTGTAGATAGTGGACACCTTCCTATACGTACATATAAATTTATTTTAAATTTTCGTGCAGAAAACATAGTTCGTGCACATTAGCCGGTAATAACCGTGCTCGTGATTGTACGATTACATTTCCAGCTGTGGAGAATAAACGTTCACTCTTGACTTGTGTAGCTAAGGCAATTTCTAGCCGCTTGCGACAATATGGGAAATCGCGCCTGATACTGCTTCCACCAATCCCTAATATGTGTCCCTCGCGGTACAATAGATTCTTCAAAATATTCATGGATTTCTTGGTTCTTCCTTGTTGTGAATGTCTCGGCCTCTATTTCATAGTTACCTAAGGATCTGTCGAAGAACGCTAATAATTTCGATTTTTTGGTACCTAATCAATAAATTACAATGTTAAAACGAATTGATGAGATAAAAAAAAGAGATATTTTATTCATATATGTATAGTGTATACTGTTCAAAACTTACCACTTGTACTACAACTTGGAAAGCTATCATCATCCTGTTGTCTCGAGATGTTCCTATTCAACATGGCACCGTTTTCTGAAAATGCAATTCTGTCACTGAACATTTTCTGCATTGTATGCTTTTCAGTAGGTTGTAGCAAGTAATCTTTAAATCTTGGATCTAGCATCATGCTGAATATGTAAATGTAATTGTTCTCTATAATTGGCTGAAATATTTCCTACAAGTAAAACATATTTCATTTAATATCATTTCTTTTATGCTTTGTGTAATGCTATTTAATTGCAATATTCCATTAAACAATTTAACTTACTTTTAATGTGTTTTGAAGACTGTTCGCAATATTTAATATTATTGAATTGCCCGTCGATTCTTCCAGCAGGTGCAGCAGGGCAAAGTTGGATAGTATCTCGAGATTGTCGGATATGATTCTCCGCTGAGGTCCTCCGTTGCATCTTTAAACGGTTCTAATACCAGCGTTACTGTTTGTAAAAAACTCCATTCCTCCGCGTTCAAGTTGTCCGATGTCCCTTCTCCGCATAAAATGATATTTAAGCTTTCTTGCAAGCGCAAAAATCTTGCGAACATTTCATACGTGGAATTCCACCTTGTGTCCACTTCCTGTATTAACTGTAGTGGAGTACCGTCATTGTTAATACTTTTCTGTACCGTTACTAAGGGTATAGCCGGGTTTTGGGGTCAAAAGTGCTCTTAGACCGATTTCGATTCGCGACGATGTATTCGATAGGTTACCAAAAAAGACTAATCTGTGCCAAGTTTGAAGTCCCTATCTCGACGGGTGGGGTAGTAAACAAGAAAAAACAAAAATCACGTTTTTGACCAATTTCTCTTGTCCTGCTGCATGAAAAATTTTGAAAAAAATCAGAGATATTTCAGTTAGTGAGGTACATGTTCCAGAATTCTTTCAGATTTTTCAGTTCAAAATCCAAACTGTGAAAAATAAAAAACGCAAAAAAATGATGAAAAATGCCGGTTTTGCATCGAAGGAATCTGAGAACTATGATTATAAAATTACAGAAAGTGTATATTATTGTTATTATTGTCCTCAATTGTTTTCATATTTTTAGGAGTGGTGCGCCGTAGTTAGAAAAATCAAAAACCGATTTTTTTCGCTGTTTCCGTGTGTTAGAGCAACTTGTATACAGAATTTCTGTATACTTTTTATGAAATACATAATTCTTAATGTTTTGACATCGATCAAAACAGTATAGGTATTAATAAAACTAATATATTTAACAATTACAACATACACTTTGAGGAATATCTTCAGAACTATCTACGATATTTTCTAACAGCGTCCGTGGCGCAAGTGGTAAGGTGCTCGGCTGTTGGGCCGCTGGATACTTTTTGAGCGTAGGTTCGAATCTCCAGTTGGTACATATTTTTTTTTTTCGTTAATCACATATTTTTTAATTTCTATCAATGCAACAATGATAAATACTTATTTACTGCTACGAGCCAGGGCGATAGCGACGCGCGTGCGAGCCCTGCGAGTGGGGTGAATTCGAGAATTGCACCGATACGATTAATTAGTATGTATCAATGGAGCCGAAGATTTGAGGATAAAGTAGATAATGCAGACGACTCTGACGCGAAGTCAGATAGTTGCAGGAATCGGTATCTCCCAGTGAAGGGTAACCGTAGGTTAAGGTGTTTGATTGTCTTGGTTATTGGAGACAAATGCAGACGCCTCTGACGCGAAGTCAGGTAGCTGCTGGGAATTGGTATCTCCCAGTGAAGGGTAACCGTAGGATAGGTTAAGTTTAGGAGTTCGGGTTGAGTACACAATGACTAAATCGTATCGTTAAAATGTAACACGCGTCGTTAATAAAGCTTCGGAACTTGTTAATTTAATAGAATAATAACTCGAGCGGTAAAGTTATTATGTTGTGGGATCGTTACACTGACTAGGATTGGTGATTTCAAAGTAAAGGTTTGATGATTGATCTTACAGACTTTTAAGTTTACACAAAGAGTATATATTCAAAAATTACTATACTAATTACAAGTGTCCAGTGTCGTGTTGTCGCGGTTAGTGTATGAAGTTAAAATTACCTAAGTGTTGCGCGGTGTTGACGCACTGGCGATGCGGGGGTCGAGAGTACTTTTATGGCCGTAATAGATTTTAAAACCGTCTTCGCGGATCTATATGGTAACGATGATCGAAAGGAACTGAAGCCCGATCTCACTAGAGTACTACTCTACAGACGATCAATGTGTCTCTAACGAGTAACTCTTTCGTACTAGCCCCCGAGCAACGAAAATCGTGGGTTTATATACCCCTAAATGTTGGTGGGGAAATCGCCAGTGATTTCCATATTAGGAAATTTGACGGTTAGGATTTTTGTTGCTCTGAGGTCAGCAGCTGTGTGCCCTGGGAAAAGGGTAGATTAGAAAGTATCCCACGCAACGCGAGTCAAAGATGATATTAAGAGGATGCAGCTGCAGGATGCACTCCAGTGAGATCGAGCTCCAAATTCCAGAAGGGTAGATAAAATAAGATTAATGAACACGAGCTTCTAAAAATGGAGAGTTTCTGTATACGTAACATTACAAATAATAAAAACATATTTTTATAATGTTGTAACATGCATTATATACATAAGGATAATTTTGGTGCGCTCATGCCACCGCTCCTCTTGTCAAGTATCTTATCAACTACGATATTGTTTAACACGTCTTACACTAAAGTACCATATGAAATTCAGTTTCGAGTCACTTATCTTTAGTTTTGTAATCTTTAGCCCTCAGTCCTCATGTTGTGTTATCCTTAGTCCTCATCACTGTCTTCGTTGATAACAGCTGTCACTTGTTCAACGTTAAATATTTTACTGAGTATTTCTGCAGGGGGTACAATTTTTGACAGATACCGAGGATGCGATAAGAAATAAATAATTGCTGCTACGTGTGAACAACAACCAATTGTATGATTACCATTAGCACATTCGCAACAATATCTTTTAATACCTGTGTAGCCTATCGAATGTGGTGTGTAGTCAATGTAATATCTATAGGTTTTACTGCTAATGTGACGTGATTTTATTTCGAATTTAACTATATTTTTAGATTCTTTAAGGCACCGAATATTAATATTATTTTCGTCGTCCATCAGTTCTGCTAAATATGATACTGCTTGAGATAGTTGATACGAACTAGTAAATAGAATTTTAAGATCGCTTTCTGTCATTTCAGGAAAATCAAGAATTTCGGAAGCTGATAATTGTTTAAAAAGAATCTTTCGCCTATTCCAACGTTTATTTTCTACTTCCACTGCTAATGTATTATCAACATTTTTTTGAGAAGCTATTCTATCAACAATTTCGTCGCAAAGCCCTGTGTCTGAGTTTAAACATTTTCCGAAGACGTTATTTAAAAAACATGCTATTCTGTACAATATTCCGACCTTTGGAAGCAATTTGTTACCTAACTGATGATGAAGAAGTCGATATTCCTGACCTATGATTCCGTGTATAGCTTCGACAACCCAACGAACCTTTGTAACCTGACGAGATGCATTGGATTCTGCAGTGGAAAGTTGATTACGCTTGCCTTTTAACTCAGGCATAAGAACAGTATAACCGCGATCTTCTAGATCAGACTTCACATCCTGAAAACCTCGATCGACGATGCAAATATCTCCAGGTTGCAGAAGAGTTTGCAAACCAGTGGGGTCTTGCATGACAATCTTCATTATCTCTGCGTCATTCTGTTTTGCATAAAAAGACCCTAACATATCAACAACATAACCGTTTGTAGTACAAACTGTAAATGGTTTACACAACGGTACTTTCTTTTGCACGGAAAATGATTTTATCTGAAATTCGTTATTTGAATTTTTTTCATAACGAATATATGTTCCATCGAAAATTAGCGCTAACTGATCTGAAATATTATATAATTTTTTAGCAATCGGAGATGTATAATTTTCTATTAAATTGTTCCGCGATAATGCTGCAATGCCAAAATGAACAGGAAGGATATCTTTCTGGAATGAATTTATAACTGACTTATACAAAAATCGGATACTTGTTGTTCACGTTCTAAATCGAGAACTGCGGCTATCACACTATTTGAATTGACAGTACGCAATTTGAAAAGAAATACTACAATAGCCTGAGTGATATCGCGTTGCTGAGATTTTTTCATAGAAGTCATCATTTCCCGAAGTCTAATTAAATTGCTCCATGTTAAACCTGTAAATACTTCAAGTCGTTCTTCCGAAAGTGTAAAATCGCCCACTTTATCATTAATATCTGAATTGCAATTCATAGAGAAGTATTCAAAATAATTTCTCAATTCTTCGGTATCGATCAAAGTACTATTAGAATGTATTTTTAAATTCATTACATCTTGCTCAAACAAACGTTTCTTTAATAAATGGCTACGACACCACCGATTTCCTTTAGGAACATATAATCGCCGCATGAAAAATACTTGTTTTCGAGTTTCAGCTGGTACATTTATTATATTTGATTTTGATCCGCAAACGAAGCAGTACCCATGAGTGGAAACAACTCTACTAAATGGCATTTTACATACTGAGTAGATGTATGATCAACGTTACTCAAATCCCTAACAAACGATGGATCTTCACTTGAAGATATAGCAGAAGATGAAGTTGATGATTCGTCAGACAATATATTGAGTGAAGATATTCCGATTGAAGATAATTGATTCGAAGGTATTTCAGTTAAAGTGGTGCCGAGTGAAGTTATTTCAGTCGATAGATTTTGAGATGAACAAGAAGGTCCAGCTGAAGAAAAACCTCCGGCTGAAGAAGAGGGTGTAGCTAAAGGGACAGTTTTAACTGAAGAACGGGTTGTAGCTAAAGGGACACTTATAACCGAAGAAGAAGTGTCACCTAAAGGAACAGATCTATTCGAAAAAGAGGTTTCAGTTACCGAAGAAGTTTTGACTATAGAAGTCGTCTCAAATGTGACGCGGAGAATCTTCAGAATCGGAGTTTGTAACTAACCCTTTCTTGTAAGCGAAGATGCAACACTTGTTATACAATTTATCACCAATAATTACCACTCTTTCTAAAATTCTAGAATAACTAACTGCTTCAACTTCCGCCAGGAGTTTCTTAATCTGACCATGCGATTTGCGAATAAAGATATTGCAACGAATGCACTTGGTATGGTCGGTTTTCCTTTCAAAAAATTGTGCTCCTTCAGACGACATATTGAAAATCAGAAATGAATATACACGGATAAACACAAACACAAAAAATACACGCCGATAAACAATATTTGAAAATTATTAAACCGATAAATAATATATGAACACGCGTAACAGTTCACAATATTACACGTAAAGTTAATACCATTGTGTTACATCCGGCCCTATCGAATGGTGTCCCTTTTCATCGACCTTGTATTGCGAATAGTTAAGATCAATAGACTTTAAGGAATGCGCTCGGTAAACGATGCGGAAA